AATTCCATGTGTGAAATTAAAAATCTTGTGTGAATTATCTATGGTCATTGGGATGCAATTGGGTGAAAATCTCAATTTGGAGATCGTTTTACTTGAATTTGTGTTAAATGGGGGACATTGCACTAATTAAGGTAAAAAAAAAAAATTTTGAAAATTTCTCTTCATAGCCTTTATGACTCGAGCAATTAAGCATGTAAGAGTCTTTAAAACCTGGTGCCTTATGGTCATCTGATTTAGGAGTTATCGGCCGAAAGCTTATTACATGTGTTATTTAGAAAGTTTAAGGGAGAGAATGCTTCAAAAAAAAATTACGTGTTTTAACTCTATTTTTCTAGCTTATTTATTAAGTTGTCTAAATTTCGTCTTGTATTTATTGACTTTACTTTCTCTAGTGTTTTAACTCTATTTTCTAGCTTTTCCAAGTTCGGATTAATTTCTATTTCACTTATAATATAAAATTCTTTTTTTAATATTTCACTATTCTGATTTTTAATATATTCTACATTATGTTCCAAAGTTTTTATAATTTTATTTATACTTTCTAATAAAGTTTGTATCTTTTTATTTGAGTTGCTTTTTTCAAACTTTTCTTTTAAATTTATGATTAGTGTACTTTGTACACTTATTTGTGGCCCTAAATCAGGATATTTTATTATCTTTTTGATTAAATTCTACCTAATTTATGTTAAATTATGTTTTGTAGGTAAAACTTCATGTTTAACGAAGAATTTGAGGAAAGAATGCCGAAATTGAATGAAATCTACAATTTTGTAGATTAAAGTCTACACGATAGAAATTGAAGGATTAAATTACATTAATTCCAAAGATGAGATGACTTGGAGAAATACAAAGTTAATGGACTTGCAATTATAATAGCACTTCAATTGGAATTGGAATCCTAATTATACTACAATTGATGGGTGACTGAGAAGGATAAATAGACATGCAGACATAAACGTGGGAGGGGCTCGGGGCTTAAATTGAAAATACATTGAAGAACCTGAGGACAGACAGAAACCCAACTAAGAAATAAAAAGAAGGAGGCAGATTTGAAGTCAACAATTTGGTGAATAATATATATAAAGCGTACTCTCGGGGAAGTGGGAGGAAAGAAAAGGCAAAGTAAAAGTGGCTTGGAAATCAATTTATATTCACGCATACCGAGGCAGGCAAGGAGAAAGGAATTATATACA